ATTAAATCCAAGATCTTGGTGCATGTGTGTATATCCTGGGCATGTTCATGTTGAGAGGGAGGGAGCAATCACGAAGAACCTGAAGGGTCTCAGGGATCCCAGGTGGGAGGGTAGCCACAGTGGATACATCAGACAAGAAGGAGCCCATTGGGCCCAGTGCTGTGGACTAGGGTTAGGCTGCTGCCTGTGGCACCAGCATATCATTTGGGCACTGGTTTGAGTCCCAGCTGCTTCACTTCTTTATTTTTTATTATTATTTTTGTTAAGATTTATTTATTTTTATTGGAAAGGCAGATATACAGAGAGTAGCTGCTTCGCTTCTGATCCAACTCCCTACTAATGTGCCTGGGAAAGCAGTGGAAGGTGACCCAAGTGCTTGGGCCCCTTTAGCCACATGGGAAATCCAGAAGAAGCCTCTGGCTCCCAGCTTCAGCCTAGCTCTGGCTGTTTCGGCCGTTTGGAGAGTGAACCAGCAAATGGATCTCTCTCTGTCTCTGTCTCTCTGCCTCCCCTGTTCTGTAACTCTACTTTTCAGGTCCACAGCAGGCTTAGGGAGAAGACACTCTTTGTCGGGAAGATTCTAGAAGCTACTCCTGGTTTCACTGCTGTGAGGGTCGCGGGGGCTTCTCTACACTGCAGGTTCACTGATGTAGTTGAGAGGTCTGTTAGCACACCGGGGGAAAGGAAATGACCATAGGCCATGGCGGGGGCAGGGACAGAGGAAGGGTATGTGTGACCCACCTACAGCAAGTGTCAAGAACAGTACCATGGGGAGCCCAGTGCAATGGCTCAATGGCAAACACTGGGATCCTATATGGGCATTGGTTCAATTCCTAGCTGCTCCACTTTCCATATAGCTCCATGTTAATATGGAGGATGGCCTAAGTCTTTGAGACCCCTGGGGAGACCCAAGAAGAAGCTCCTGGCTCCCAGCTTTGGATTGGCCTTACTCCAGCCATTGTGACCATATGGCAAGGGAATCAGTGGATGGAAGCTCTCTCTTTTTCTCAATAACTGCCTTTCAAATAAAAACAAACAAATATTAAAAGAGCACCGTGGAACAGCAGCTTTCTCAGGAGAAGGGGAGACCTGTGAGCCAGGGCTACACTAAGGAGATGGAGAAAGAACAGCCTGAAAGACTTCTGGAAGTTTCTGGAAAAGCCAGTTAAGGGCCTTAAGACTAAAATCTCATTAGATTTTGCCTTCCACTGTATTTTGAATGATTTTTAAATTATTTTTATTGGAAAGGCAGATTTACAGAGAGGAGAGATAAAAATCTTTCATCTGCTGGCCCACTCCCCAATAGCTACAATGACCAGAGCTGAGCAGACCTGAAGCCAGGAGCTTCATCTGGGTCTCCAACGCGAGTACAGGGTCCCAAGGCTCTGGGCCATCCTCTACTGCTTTCCCAGGCTACAAGCAAGGAGATGGATGGGAAGAGGAGCAGTTGGGACATGAACTGGCGCCCATATGGGATCCTGATGGATGCAAGGCGAAACATTAGTCACTAGACTATCGCACTGGGCCCACTGTCTTACTGTTCTTGTGATCAGCATGAAGACTGGGGCGTACACAGACCCCTCAGATCTCCCAAGTCTTGGACCCACCTGAAATCTATTTTTCAGAAGCATTCAAAGTAAAACAGCTTTATGGGGGTAGATTCTGTGGGGGATGTGTGGGCCAAACCCTGTGGAAATACTAGCTCCACTGGTAGCTCAAGAGTTGGGGTGGTGATGGACTAAGCTAGGTGTGACCAAGGAGCCTGCCATCACTCACAGATAAAGGGACCGACAACAGTCTGAACTGGTCGAGGCAGCACCCGAATGTGCATCCTGAATAGGGTGTGGGGTGGGCCAGGCTGCAACATTCATCTGCTCATACAAGGCCAAATGGAAGGCCAGACTATGCTGGGCACTGACCTGAAACCCATTGGCATGTATGAGAACTGGGTCTGGGAGTGAGTCAAGTGGAGGAACTTAGGAAACTCACCTGGAGAGTCATAGCTTCCACTGGTAAATACTTGGTCTAGACCTGGGGGTCGGACAAACTGGGCAAAGTAGCTCCAACGGCTGGCTAATGTGTGATTTGGCAATGGAACAGGGTGTACCGGGCAGGACTGAGCAAACCTTAGCCCACAGGCAAAATTAGAAGTCAGGATGGAGCACAGGTCATGCCGAGCTAGGCTCTTGCACGTACTGGTCTGTGTGAGCCAGGGACGCTAAGCCACAGTGTCTAAAGCAGGGGCTGGGACAGGTGAGGGGCTGTGCCAAGCTGAGTCAGAGCAACCACTGGCATGCACGTGATCTATGGCTGGGAACAGGCCCAGTTGGAGAGCTAAGGGGACACCCTAGCTGGGTTGAGGTTCCCACCAAGGAGAATGGGGCTGGAATGGGGGCTGCGTTCTGATCAGGATATGGTTGTAGTCTCTTTTGGCACAAGTGTGGACTGGGACTGGACACACCAAGCCGGGCCAGACTCCAACATCATTTTGTGTTCTTGAGGATAAATGTAGGATAGACTAGGCTAGGTCTCAACCCTTACTGAACCATGAGTGAGCTATATGTGGGTATGGACAAGCCGTGGCTGGGCTGAAACATTCAACAGTAAGAACCAGATTGGGTTGAAGGCCAGTCAGGAAAAGCCACTGTTCCTGCTAGGACAGGAGGTGGACTGAGTAAGTCTGGCTCATGGACCCCTGGTATGCACGAATTTTGGCATTGGGAGGGGTTCTGATGGAGGAGCCTGGGCAACTCCTCTGGCAGGACACAGACCCTGAGGGTAAGTGCAAGAAGCATGATGGGAAACAGCCCAGAACAGGCCATGGAAAGTTTCCCACTGGCATACATTTGGCATGGATCAGGGGCAGACCAGGCTGAACCAGTTCACATCACCCACTGGCGAATCAGAGCACAAGAACAGAATGTGGGTCGAGCCAGATTCGGTTGCGACAAAAACCAGTGCACATTATGGAATGCCAAGGTGAGGTTACCTGCACCGGATGTGACTGCAGTGCCCAACAGCACACGTGAGAACCTGGAAGGGAGGGGGCAGAGCCGGTAGGGGGAATATGGGGTGCTCCCCTGCTGGACAGCTACTCCACTGGAGAGCATGAGCTGGGAGGGTACAGACCAGACTAAGCAGGGCTATAACACCTGTGGGCCTCATGTGGACCAGACCAGGGAAAAGCCAGGCTGGGCTGATTGTTCCTACTGGTATAAACAAAAATTAGAGTGGGTGAGGGTTGTTTGGGCTTAGCTGCAGCACCAGCTGGCAGAAGCTGGCACTGGGGGCTAATTCTGTCAAGTTAAACTGCAGAACCACCTGGAGAGTGCATAATCTGGGAGTGGGAGTGGCCTAGAAGGGAAATAGTGGGCTCTTCCCTCTTGGGTTACCATTCACACTGGAGGGCACAAAAGCTCGGACAGGGGCTGGGATGTGGGACAGACTGGACTAGTCTGCTGCACATACTGGCAAGCATGGGAACCAGGGTAGGGGGCCTGGTGGGGTCACTCCAACTGGCTGCAGCTCCCACTGGTTTATGTGAGGGCCGAGTGTGTGCTGGGCAAAATCAGGCTGGACTGCAACATCCTTTGGTTCCAGTGGAAGACAGGGTGGAAACAGAACCGACCCAGCAATTGCAACCACCAGCTGATCGGGGCAATGGACTGTGCTGGGCCCTGTACTTGTTAGTACATACAAGAATCTGGACTGGGAGCACTTCAGACAGTTTCTTTTGAGATCTCCCCAATCAAACTGCCAGACTCAGAACCCTAACCATGAAAAGAGAGAGGACAGAACAAGTCAATCAACCACCTCAGCCATATGTTGGCAGTGAAAAACTGGGCAAACGGAGACTCTATGATGGACTATGTCAATCAGTGGATTCTTCAACTACCTCATCGTGCTTGGAGTGGCGAGATTGGCAGCAATTCATGACTGTTGAACTATCAAAAACACTTGAGCAGGACCCTCGGAGCATGCCCCACATTAGGGACCTGGGGTGAGTGGGAGACTGGGTGGGGCTTCTCCCTTAATATTCCCCTTTACCCCAGATACATGAAGGAAACAATGTAGAAATAATAGTCTTCTCCACTTTCCTGTAGCCCTTAAACCTTTTTAACTAGGTAACGATTATCAAAACTGTCATACAAAATGGGAAAAAATAAAATAAAATAAAATAAAATAAAATAAAATAAAATAAAAAGAAAAGCAGCTTTCACTTCCACCCTTCTTCAACACCCCTCTTCTACTTGGGGCTCCCAGCTTCCCCCCACCCCGGCCCTGTGTTGAATTAATCAAGGCATCCCCAGATTGGAAAAATACCCACCAAACTCTCGCTAGAATACTGTGCGTACTTGGGATCATTTCCTAAGCGCTTTGCCTTATTTTGTTAATATTTGTGCACTTGCTGTTCGTATCCAAATCTGCCATACTCACCAGAGCCTCCCCATGCATTATCCTGTTGGGTTCTATGACACCCCAGTCCCTTTCCCATGTCCTCCCTCACCTCCCTGCCACTCCCCTCATCCCCAGCTTCCCCTCAGGTAATGACACTCTGTAATTGTGTTGGAGTCAGCGATGGTGGGGCTGGTTGAGTGTTTGGAGTCAAATACAAGAGCGATCTTAGGCTTTTTTTCTGAACTCTGGCATTTTGATGGACTGGGCTCCTGTGCAGAAGACATGTCTAGCAGGGTTCATGGAAGGAACCCAAGGCTTCTTTGGGGGAGGGATAGAGATGGGTCTTCTTCCGAGGCATCTGTGGGAAGTGCCAAGTATCTCTGCATGGACCCCAGAGGTGAAGAGGGGGCCAAAAGGGACTGTCTGGGGAATCAGGGTCTAGCGGGAAGCATTTGTGGCTTCCCTTGGCCATCCCTCCTTGCCCATGTGGCTGGATAGGAGCAGGACACAGTGCATCTCGGGGTCATGGTAGGGTGACAGGGCCCAGGGGTCCCCATCCCCATCCCCATCCCTCAGAGAGCCAGCAGTCCAAACAGGTGCAGTTTGTGCTTATGTCTTTATTGTTTCTGTCCGTCGCCCTGCAGCGAGAGGGGCGGGCATGGGGGGAGGTGGGCACCCCGGACGCCAGCCTGAGACCACTCTCTGCCTCTCTCCTCTGCAGCATCTCACCCACCCTCTCTCCTTCGGATTCTCCTGCTCCCACATGCGGCACCTGCGGGGGTTCCCTCTTGCAGCCCCTGCTTTCTATGTCCTCCCTGAGCTGGGGAGAGGAAGGGAAGGGGACTGTGTTTGACAGTCCCTCTTGTCTCCAACAGGGGGGCAGTCTCCTTGCCACCTGCCCACGGTGTTCATGAGGCTGTCCTTGTGCTTTCCAGCCCAGGCTCAAGGATGATGAGAGCCCCGGGGCTCCACCCTGACCCTGCTGGGTCTCAACACTTGCACTCTGGGGCTTCTCTCCAAAGCCAGAGACTGGAGCCTGCGCTCTAGGAGGCGGGAGGGGCAGGGTCACGGCCCCAGGTCACGTTCACCCACTTGTAACAGCCAGGACTCGAGGCAGGTGTCTGGGATGCCCCCTGTAGCTGGACAGGGCCATGCCATGTTCCCTGTTGGGGAATCATGAGGGAGGGTTGGTGAGGCAGGGTCAGGGGCTGTGATGGGGGGGCAGGTGGCTTGGGTGCGGTGTCCTGGATAGAAGGAGGCAGGCTTCGGGAGGCAGTGAGGACAGGGGCGAGGACGGTCTCCGGGGCTCTCTGGCTTTACAGCACCTCGTGCTGCTGCTGTGTGGCCTCGCTAACAACCTGGGGAGTAAGAGAAACCCAATCCAATGGGTGCTCACCTGAGAAGGGGGCCTCAGCCCTGTGACACCCCCTAACCCTGGAGACAGCAGGCGTCTTCCTGCCTCGTGCTCAGCCAAAGACCCGAACCAGCCCGCCTAGGGAGAGGCAACTGCAGACACACCCACAGCCCCATGCCAGGGAAGGACATCAGAGGGCTCACCTCTCCATCCCGGGTCTCAATGGTCTTGATCATCACAGTCTTCTTGGTATGGATCTCAGAGCCTCTTTGCTCCGGGCTGGTTTCTGTGACAGATATGTGGCATGTTCAGTGTGACCCAGCCTAGGCAGGCCAGGACTGCAATGGGAGCTGGGACTCCACAGTGAGCACCTCCGGCCTGAGCTTTGGCACGTGCACGCCCCCTTGAGGCAGGCTTGTTAACTTCTTCAAGCCTTCTGCAGCTATCCCTGAGCCCAGTGCCTAGCAAGTGGCTCTGCAGGCTTGTTGTGGGGCGAAGCCTTGGGTCTGAAATGGACTCAGGGAGCCTGCATATCTGCCCCTTAAATGGTCTGTGCAGCACAGCCAGGCTTCCCAGCATTCACTATTACACCCCCATACTTGATTTCCAACCCTGGACCCTGGGAGAGCACTGTGTGCATGTGTTTCTGGGACTCCCCTCCTCCCAGATCATGAGAATCCAAAGTTGAGTGCCACACATGTGCTGAAGGATCTCATAGAACCTGGCCCTCTTTGAGACTTGGATGAACCACCCGATATCTTCATGGGGGTGAGACGGAGCCGGCGTCAGGCCCTAATTCACCTGCCCTGCCATGCCTCAATTCCCTCACTGTGAACCCTATTATGGCCACAGGACTATTGATCTGCAAACACATTAAGCAGTTTTCAACGCAAGGTTCACACGGGGTGTCCTTCTAAACAACTAATGGAAAAGAGCTCTTCGGTTTTAGAGGGAGGGTCAAGTCGAGGTCCCTGGCGTTATGAGCATGGCATTCCTGAATCTCCTTAGCAAGCAGCTAGTCTGTGATGAACGCCGTGGCTTGGCGCAGCACAGCGTGTATTTTCTCCTGATGGAAACGCACATCAACGATGTAAAAGGTTTGATCTAGGAAAGGTGAGGCTGCCAAGAACTCGGACTCGCCTTCCTAATGCATCATTAGAGCGTGTTTTGCTGCAATCCTGGGTTGGAAAGCCACTTGATCTGCATATTATTAATGGCACAATGCCCTAAGAGCTCCTTTCCATTGCTTGGCTTTGCTACTGGAGGTGCTGGAAAAGCAGCCGCTGGGCTGGGGTGCTTGGCTGAACGGCTTGTGAACAGGGGTGGGGGTTGCCATCCAGCTCAGAGAGAAGATGCCCCTGCTGCCAGGCCCCCCACGACATCCCTGGTGCTTTCAGTATTGGGGGTGCAGGCCAGAGGCTATTTCCTGAGTGTCTGGTTCGTCCAGACAGCACAGAGGTATGGGAAATATGAAACGCAAATCTGAAATTCTGGCCTTCAGAACTAGACTCACCTGCTTCTACCTGAACAGGCCCTCACACTCTCAGCAGCCTGCAGACCTCAGGCTCCCCTGTTCCACCCCCTGCTCAAGGGGATCCCTGCCTTCCCCCACCATCCCTACCCCCAGAACACACTCACCTCGGAAGTTGAGAGCAGAATAGGTCTGAATGGGAAGGTTGATCCTGAAAGGGGATAGTGCAAGCCCCAGAAGGTTAGGGACCCTCTCATTTCTCTCTGTGACTCCCCACCCCCGTCATCAAGGCTTGTCTGGTCCTCCTCAAACACCATCCTGAGCTGTCCTGATCTGCTCACCCCAAAACTCCCGCTGCCCTCAACTGCCCAGGCAATGCAGTTCAAGGGCAACTCTAACTGTCCCAGGCATTGTCTCTTCTGGAAGGATCCCTGACCCCGTCGGGTGGTACTAAGATGCCCAACCCCACCAACTCTCCCTTTCACCAGGATGTCCCCTGTGTTCCTGACACTGCCAGAGGTCAGGAACACTGGCAGCCGCAGTGCCACCCATGGTCTGCGTGCCCATCTTCTAGCCAGGCCAGTGTGACCGTGTAGTGTGGATGAAATGCAATGTGACTGCAGCGCCTTTATAAAGCTGGCATGTGTCCTTCTGTACAACTTGAGCTGTGCATGCCTAAGTCCACGTCTAAACACGTCTGCTGCTCTTCCTCAGATATTCACATTTACATGCCATAGATACTGTTGGCAGGGGCAGTGATTGACCTGTTTTAAATCGAGGTTAAATTTACATTTGGTGCAATGCACACATCTTCAGAGTGCAGTTTGGGGTCTTTGATCAATGTCTACTTCCAGGTAACAAACCAGGAAACAGCACACCATCATGGCCCCAGCAGGTGCTCTCTTGTCCACTCCAGTCGCAGGTGGTTTTCTGTGTTTGCAGGTGGGTAGCTTGGCCTTTCTGAGTTTCTCTCTTTAGGTGTGTGTGTGTGCAGGTTTCTTTTCACCTGCTCTCAGCCCTTCCACAGGTGGGGCTCCCCATCACTCCCCGTCTCTGTCCCTCCTTTTCCTTCCTCATCATTGCCCACTCTGCTCCCATGCCTCCCCTAACTGGCAGCTTTCTTTTATGGCTGCTTGTTGCATATTTCATTCTAAAAGTGAATAGGGGAATACTTAATTTTCTCATGTTATAAAAGCTGTTCATTAAGTCATGGTTTTTGTTTGTTTTTTAAGCTAGGTGGCCTTGGTTCATTGTTTGCAAAGAGAACAGAGGTGGCGTCTGCTTTCCAGGTGTTGTTGAGTTGGTCTTGAGCCTGCTGCCCCACCCCTGCCAGAGCAGAAAGGGGCTGCTCAACATCCCCCCTCTCCCCGTCCCAGTTCTGCCTTGCCCCTCACCGGCTCTCCTCGCCCTCCAGCAGCTTCCTGTAGGTTGCGATCTCCACATCCAGGGCCATCTTGACATTGAGCAGGTCCTGGTACTCGCGCAGGTGGCGGGCCATCTCATCCTTGAGGTGCCGGATCTCCTCCTCCAGGCGAGCGATGTTGTCCTGGTAGCCGCTGGCCTCGCTGGCAAAGCGGTCCTCCATCTCCCGCATCTGCCGCATCAGGGAGTCGTTCTGCAAAGAAGAGGGTGGAGGAGCCCAGAAATAAGGACCAGTGTGCTGACAGGGGGCCACTGGGGGGTGGGGGACGGGGAAAGAGAGAGAAACACACAGCCTCAGGTGGGGAAGGTGGTCCAAAGGGCTGCCTAAGACCTCTTAGCCAGGGAAAACTGAACAAAAAGGAAGCCTTCTATGGACAGATATAGACAGCCCCTAGAGTCAGCCTCCCCACACCCTTAGTGAGACCCCCTACTGGAGGCACAGAGACTGATGGACCCAAGGTCACAGGGTGAGGGTGTGGGCAGCAGACAGGAAGGGGCTGGGGTGGGGACTCACAGTGCCCTTAAGGGCATCGATCTCGCAGGTGTAGGACTGGATCTGGTGCCGGTACTCCATCATCTCCTGCTTGGCCTGGCGCAGGGCGTCGTTGTTCTTGTTGGCAGCCTGGGTCAGGTCAGACACCTAAGAGCAGAGAGAGAAGGGGGGATATACCCTGGGCAAAGGGAAGAGCAAAGTACAGGCAGGCAGAGGAGCAGGGAGGCGTCAGGCTCCCCCTTACCCCCAAGCCCCAAAGGCAGTATCTGCAGATCAGGGCTGAGGAAGATAGAGGGGCCACAGTCCCTGGGCTAAGATCACTCACCTTGGACTTGTACCACTCCTCGGCTTCAGAAATGTTCTTAGCCGCGATGCTCTCGTACTGAGCCCGGATGTCTCTGAGGGCAGCTGTGAGGTCCGGCTTGGACATGTCCATCTCCACCTGTACCTGCTGTTCCTGAAGCTGGGCCTGCAACTCGCGGATCTCCTGCGAGGCGTGGCTGGGCTTCAGTTCCCACCCAGACCCAGTCCCTGCCCCTCACAGGACCCTCCCACGCCCATCCCCGGGTCCCACACCTCCCCCTAGTTTCCAGCCGCTTTTCACCACCCTGAGGCTCAGGGACCCAGGCGTACCTCCTCGTGTACTTTCTTAAGGAACGCGATCTCCTCGTTGAGGGATTCGATTCTGCGCTCCAGGTCAATGCGAGCTAGTGTGGCTGCGTCTACATCCTGGCAGAGGTCAAGCAAGAAGTACAGCGTCACTGACCACCCAGGCGAAGGACTGGGGGCCCAGGGGCCATGCAGGGGCATGGGAAACCAGGGGGAAGGAAGGCAGCTGAGACAGCTATGAAGGAAGGCTCACCGCTCGGAAGGCAGCCAGGTTGTTCTCAGCCTCTTCTTTCAGCTGGATCTCCTCCTGCAGCCTGGTTGGGACAGAGAGATGGACAGAGCCTTGTGGGCGGAAGGGATAAAGTGAGCAGCAGGGGAGGAGGCCTGGCTTCCTGTGTGGAGTCAGGAGGCCCAGAGAGGGAGTGGCAGAGGCCCCGCCCAGGCAGGGAGGGGACAGGAAGTGGCCCAATCACTACTCTGAAGCCACCCTCTCCCAAATCTCTGTCCCCACGAGCCTGTGACCTCCACAGGGTCAGGAACCGTGTCTATTTAGTCCACTCCGTGCTCCCAGACCTCAGCCCCAGCCTGGCCCCAGGGTTGCTTGGTTCATGTTTGTGACTTTTGGTGGCAGAAGGGTGGCCTTAGTCTCTTGGGCCGTCCGAAGCAGGGCCTCCCTGCCCTCTCAGGCTGCCGCGGGGCTCTCCAGCTTCCTGAGGTCACAGCCTTTTGTAACACTGTCCCCTTTCCTCCAACTGCCAGATCTGCCTTGTGAAATAGCAGCCTGAGCTCTGTCCAGGGGCCATAATCCCCTTGTGTACCCCCTTCCTGGGGCCTCACCAGCCAGCTGTGGCTTAGCCTGCCGGCCCTGTCCCTCCTGGCCTGCTGCAACCTTTCCTGCGAGTACCTGCTTCTCTGATCTACCTTACCATCACCCCAGCATCTTAGCAAGGGGGTTTCCCATTTCCATCCCCAATGCAGGGCCCCCAAACTGCCGTGTAGGCTGGGGACACAAGGGAGAGACCTTCGTGGATCTCCCTGTGGCCGGAGAGCCCAGTGAACGAGCCTCTCCGGGCCTAAAGGGGCCCTGGGCCTGGAGGAGGAGGGGGTGTTAATAGAAGGAGAACTGGTAAGGAGGGGATCCGGCCCGCACGCCTCACTTGGCCTTGAGCCGCTGCAGGTCGTCGAGGAGGTTGTCACGCTCCACGTCGACGCGTGCCCGCTGATTGGTGAGCACCTCCACCTGGCGCCGCAACTCACGCATCTCCTCCTCGTACAGCTCGGCGACGCGCGTGGGCTCCCTGCCCTTGAGCCGGTTCACCTCGGCAGCGAGCGCCGCGTTCTGCTGCTCCAGGAAGCGCACCTTCTCGATGTAGTTGGCGAAGCGGTCATTGAGCTCCTGTAGTTCTACCTTCTCGTTGGTACGGGTGGCCAGGAACTCCTGGTTCACGGCGTCGGCCAGCGAGAAGTCCAGAAGCTCGCCCGCGCCGTACGAGGGCGCCCTCGTGGTTCCCAGCCGGCTGGCCCGCAGCGACCCCAGGCCCCCAGCCCCGCCCGACGTGCGCGACACTTGGTACACACGCGACGTCACCGAGCTCGAAGAGCCCTTGGAACCGAAGCCCGCGCGCGGGAACACGGGCGAGCTGAGCGGGGAGCCCAGCGAGAAGCCCGGAGCCCCGCCGAAGGTGCGGCGGTAGGAGGACACGCGCTGGCTGGACGAGTAGGCCTGGCTCATGGTGGCGGCGACGGCGACGGGCGACACGGGCGAGGCTGGGTGGGCGCACGGAGGAGGCGGCGGGCGCGCGGGCGGCCGGCTGGAGTGATGGAGACGGCGAAGGAGACTGCCGGGGGCCCCCGGCCGGCGGTACTATTTGTAGGGCTCCTGACATCAGCCCCCGCCGCCCCTCCTCCGACAGCTGCAGGATCCTGCTGTCCTGCCAGGAAAGGACGGCCGGGCCGCGGGGGCGGGGCGGGCCTGCGGGGCGGGTGGGTGGGCGGACAGGGGGCCTGCGACGGGGGCTGACGGCCTCGGAAAGGCCAAACACAGGCCGGCCTGCCAACTGCCAGCGCAGAGCCAGTCAGCACTGTGGTGGGAGCCCCCTCGGGTGGTAGATGTGGGGGGTTCCTTTTAACTTTGGATGTCTGCCTGACTTTCAGGGGGTGGGGATGGGGGCAGCAGTTGGAGAAGGGAGCGGCTAGGGGCTTTAACAATGGCAAGTGTGAGGGATACCTTTTTTTTTTTTTTTGGCCCAAGAAGACATCTGGGCTTCTTTGAAAGCGACAAGGCCTGATCCCAAGAAGGTCCCAAGACACTTCACTTCTAAAATTGTCTGGCAAGTGCCTTGGTTGACTTGGGTGGGATCTCCAGGTAGATGGGGGAGGGGGGAGGACAGCTGGTGGGCAGTGGTGTGGGCTGGAGCCCACCTGCTCATGTATGTCCTCTGACATAAGGGTCTTACTCTCAGCCTCAGTTTCCCTCTGGGTCATGTTGGTGTTCTCCCTCCCACTCCCACTAGCAGTGAAGGGGGGAGGCAGTCCTTTAGTTTATAAACTGTAAGGTGATTTCTGGGATTGATGTACCCTGGGTCCAGTGGCTCTGTGTGGTCACACCCACACACCCACCCACTCTTCTGGCTCCCAACACCCATGCTTACCCCTGCTGCTTCATCCCACCCCCACCTGCCCCCAGCCCCCCACACCCACTCACACCAGGGCTTTGTGTTTTGTCAGGAGCCGAGTGTCAACCCAGCCATCTCCAGGCAGCAGCAGCTGCCAGCCCGAAATACCAGAGCTGGTATTTATAGAGAAGAGTTGGGCCCGGGGAAACAAGGCCCAGGAGAGGTGTGGGGTAGGGAGTGGGGGAGGGAGTACCTGAGGAGGCCCAGGCATGGGATGGTGGTGACAGCCACACACATACTCCCAGTCGCTCTCCAGACCCACAGTGCTCCAGGCCTGCCCCGACAGCCTGGCCCAGAGCTTCACAGAGCGCTGGCCCTTCACAGCTCCCTCCTCAACCCAAGGCACTTAAGGACACTTCTCCATGAGCATCCACTGTGTCAGTGTCACACCACTACCCATCGTGTCACAGGCCTCTCTTAGCGACCCCCCTTTTAAAATTTGAACCCCAGAAATAGAGCACTGGCCCTGCTAGGTCCTGCCATCAGCAACAGTAGTATTTGTTGTCAGGGGCATCCATCACCTCTTAGTTCCAAAGGCCTCAGCTAGCACATGGAGTTGCTCAGCCTTGCACGGGCGCCTCTGTCAGGGCTGAGGCAGCCTTGGCGGCCGTGGCAGCAACAATAGCAATAACAATGTCTTCTGGGCATCGGCCACCTAGTGTCCGTCTGCTGAGTGCCTCATAGGACCCCCGATTCTCCAGCAACTCTAGCAGCAGGGCTTACCATTTTCCCCGTTTTACAGCTCAACAAACTGAGCTTTGGCCCAGGTCAGGAAGGTGTGAATGTGCCAGGTAAACTACAAGGAGCTTCGTTACTACTGTATCATCAAAGCTAATTTTTACTCAGGAGCCAAGCTTCCACAGTGGATTGAGTGTTGCAGATATTCTTATCCAGCCTTTGAGTCAGTGCAAGCTGTTGTGTCATGGTGATTTTGTGTTTCAGCTCCCTAACTGGACCATATGAGCATGCAAGCATTTCAATTTTATTTTGCACCAAAATAAACTTACTTTTAATTGTACCTCCCATGAGCTTTGAGAAGCACCTTGTGTAGTTCAGGGTGGATGTGGGTGGTCATGTGGTATCCCAACACATCCCTGGTGCAGCTGCATGTCACTGTCATTCAAAGCTGCCTAAAAGCGACTTCTGATGATAGATGCAGCACTTCCTCCTTGCCCTCGAACCCCCAGACTACAGGTGAGAGTCCAATCCCAACCAGTCTTACTCTAGCATCCCTTGGCTCCATTTAGTGGCTTAAAGGATGGGCATTGGTGGTAACCACAGACCTTTATGCACACACTGAGAGTTTGTAGACTGAGCTGGGGCTACTGAACTTTGGTGACCCAATAGAAGAGATTCAGGTCAACACACTGAAGATGCAGCGAGGAGAGGGGATACGGGCTGGGGCAGGCAGCCCCCAGCCCAGCCCCAGTCCCAGCCCAGCCCCAGTCCCCAGCCCCTCCAGCTTTGTGAGCTCCCCACTGACCTTCTGGGTTTTGAGCCAATAAGCTTTGGTGTCAGTTGTCACTGAGGCCACTTGGTGTTGGCTCTGGTCACTTACAGCTCAAGCAACCTGACTGATCTATCACAAGAAACTTGAAACCTTTCTTTCTTTCTTCCTTCCCTTCTTTCTTTTTTCTTTCTTCTTTCTTTCTTTCTTCCTTCCTTTCTTTCTTTCTTTCTTTCTTTTCCTTTCTTCCTTTCTTTTTTTTTTCTTTCTCTCTCTGCCTCTTTCTTTTGAATTATTTAAATTTCAAGGAAGGGAATAATAAAGGTAGAGATAGAACTTCCATCTTGTGGTTCACTTCTCTAGTTGATTGCATATCCAGGTCTGGGCCAATCCAGGAGCTGCATCCTGATCTCCCGTGGACCCATGCATTGAGGCCATCACCCACTGCCTTCCTAGGTGCACCAATCGCAAGCTGAATCAGAAAGGAAAGAGCAAGGACTTGAACTGGCACTAGATGTGGGATGATGGCTTCCTAGGTGGCAGCTTAATTGCTGTGCCACAACTCTAGCCCCATGGAGACCCATTGCTAGGATGCTACTTAGGCTACATGGCAGAGGCTCCTCTTGCATGCCACCCTAGGAAATGGACTCCATTCCTTGGGGGATATGAGACAGCAAACAAATACGTAGGTCACACCACCAATTCTATAGTCAGAACCAGCCACTACTAGACTTGGCTCCAAACGGCTTGGGCTTGCTTCCAAAATTCAGTTCCACCCCGAAGGATTTGCTGCCATGGAGGGTGGCAAAACAACAGCCTGTGATTCGGCAGGCAGGTGAAAGAGGAGCTCCAAAGCACACGCCCAGCAAGCAGGGCCCTGGCAGTGCATCAGGGACACAGGAAGCCCGAGAGCAGCCATGAAGGTGAAGGGGATGCAGCTGGATGGCAATGGGATTGTGCCTGAAAAGGGGGCAGCAGGAAGGGAGGCAGCGACAAGGCTGTCTCCCTCCCACTTGGAGACCCACAGGCCCCCAATCCTGCTTCATTGACATCAGTGTTGGGCTGCTGTGTCTGTGGTCTTCTTGCAGAGATACGCCAAGCACACAGGCACGCTCACACACGGAACCCTCCCCTTTTCGAGCACTTTTCCTCGAGTTCTGAATCGAGCTTTTTTCAAGGCATGGCTAACTAAGTCACTTGCTGTTTATATGTTTCTATTAGAAATGGCTGAAATGGCCCAACATGATAGCGTAGTGGCTAAAGTCCTTGCCTTGGACATGCTGGAATCCCATATAGGCACTGGTTCTAATCCTGGCAGCCCCACTTCCCATCCAGCTCCCTGCCTGAGGCCTGGGAATGCAGTCAAGGACGGCCCAAAGCTTTGGAATCCTGCACCTGTGTGGGAGACCCAGAGTAAGCTCCTAGCTCCAGGCTTTGGATTGGCTCAGCTCCAGCAGTTGCGGTCACTTGGGGAGTAAATCATCGGACGGAAGATCTTTCTCTCTGTCTCTCCTCCGCTGTGTGTATCTGCCTTTCCAATAAAAATAAATAATTCTTAAAAAGAGAGAAATGGCTGAAATAGACGCCAGCGTTTATGCTGCAGCCAGTTAAGCTTCTGCCTGCAACATTGGCATTCTTTATGGGTGCCAGTTCAGGGGTCCTGACTACTCCACTTCTGATCCAGCTCCTTGCTGGATATAGATGGGAAAGTGGCCAAAGATGGTCCAAGTGCTTGGGCTCCTGTCATCCGCATGGAAGACCCAATGGAGTTCTTGGATTTGACCTGGCCCCAGTCATTGTGGTTATTTGAGGAGTGAATCAATGGACAAAACATACATAACATAAAATTCACTAATTTAGACACTACTTTAGAAAAGGATTTTCTTATATATTTAAAGGGAGAGAGAGAGAGAGAATCTGCTGCTTCTCTCTTCAAATGACGCACAACAGCTAAGGCTGACTGGGACAAAAGCTAAGAGTCTAGCGCTCCAACTGGGCCTCCCACATAGACAGGAGAAGACCATTCTATATTCCCAGGCACTTTGACAGGAAGTAGATTTGGAAGCAGAATAACTGAAACTGAAACCACCACCACAAAATACAGGATGCCACTGTCCCAAACAGTAGCTTAATATGCTTGCCTCAACACCAGCCCCATTTTAGCTATTTTTTAAATGAAAGATTCAGTAAGTTGGTTTGAAAGAGAGTAAGAAATAGAGATCTTCCATCAACTGGTTCACTCTCCAAATGGCCTCAGTAGCCAGGTCCAGGGCAGGCTGAAGCCAGCAGCCAGGAACTCCGTCTTGTTCTCCCACATGGCTGGCTAGGGCACAAGGCCTTGAGCCATCTTTCACTTGTTTTCAGCGCGTGAACAGGAAGCTGGATAGGAAGCAGAATAGTTGGGACTCCAGCCAGCTTTCTGCTGTGGGATGCCAACATCTCAAGTGGCAGCCTGATTACAGCACCACAGCACCAGTCCCCATTTTAGCCATTGTTAAAGAGATTTATTTATTTGAAAGACAAAATTGCAGAGAAGCAGGCAGAAAAAGAGAGATCTTCCATCCATTGGTTCATGTCCCCCAAATGACCACAGTGACTGGGGCCAGGTCAAATCCAAGAACTCCATTGGGTCTTCCATGTGGGTGACAGGAGCCCAAGCACTTGGACCGTCTTTGGCCACTTTCCCATCTGCATTAACAAGGAG